CTACGGAAGTAGGATTGCCCAACCTTCCTTCCGAGGAGTGGCTGGTGGGTTTGAACCGCCAGCCTTCTGGTTAGCAGTCAAGTGCTTTTAGCCACCAGCAGCCTGTCATTTGACAGGGGCCAAAGAGGGTTAGAGCTCCTTAAAGCTTCATTCCGAAATAAAAGTCAGTATGTGACTTGCCTGGTGGTTCCCTGGGATATCCTATTTACAAGGCTGTCTTTATCTGGCTTGACTTGGACCCTTACCAAAGGAGCTCTGGCTGCATAGTGGTTAAAGCATTCAGCTGTTAACCAAAAGGTCAGCAGTTCAAATCCATCAGCCACTCTTCAGGAGAAAGTCTGCTTGTGTAAAGATTTGCTGCCTTAGAAACCCTATGTCCTGTCCCATAAGGTTGCTATGAGTCAAAACTGAATTGATGACAGTGGGTTTGGTTTGGAGCCTCTTCTGGGGTGGAGGATGTGGGGTACACATTTGTTGAAAATAATTAAAAGGTAAATGATTATTAGTCTTTTGGCTTAAAAGGAAATACAGGGGAAGAGCTATCTATAGGGGCTTGAAAAAGCTCCCACAGTATTTCTGGGAATCTAGAATGTGCAGGGTTAGGAAAGACTACAAAGGCCCTAACCTTTCACCCCTGGCTGACCCTGGGGGCTCTGTGCAAGTAGGAAGTTAAGGCTAGGACAGAATGGTCAACTGCCTGGCTGAGTGTTAAAGGCATGCCACTCGCAAAGACTGGAAGCTTTACTGGCTGCAAGTGTCTAAGGAAATCTATCTCTAATCACTGACTGACCACTAAAGCTAACCGAGCAGAGACTTCGTGGTCACACAAATAAAGAATGCAGATTTCATAGTATTAGTTCAGAAAAGTAACTGAGCAAAGAACAAAAAACAAAAACAACAACAACAAACTTTAGGGAGAAAGGAGAATCTGATTTCTGGAGCTGCCACAGTATATTATGTAAAATATTCAATTTCCAACAAAAATTCAAGTCATGAAAAGAAACACAAAAGTATGACTCACACACAAGGAAAGAAAAACAGCAGTGGCTAAAAACTATGCCTGAGGAAGGCCAGACAACTGACTTACTAGATGAAGACTTAAAAATAGTTATTTTAAAATATATTCAAAGAACTAAAGGAAATCATGTCTATAGAACTAAAGGAGAATATAAAAATGATGCCTCACCAAAAAGAAACTTCATATAAATAAAATAAAAATTTGGGATAATTCAGTAAGATGAAAGGCATGTATGAAAAGTCTAAAGTTAATATTATACCTAACAGCAATTGAGGCTAAGATATTTGTGTTTGTTGTTGTTGTTATGTGCCCTCAAGTCGAATCCGACTCATAGTGACCCCTACTTGGGCTTCCGAGGCAGTATCACTATGGAAGCAGATTGCCCAATCTTCCTTCCAAGAAGAGCCTGGTAGATTTGAACCGCCAGCCTTTTTGTTAGCAGTCAAGTGCCTTAGGCACTATGCTACTACTATTCAACACTGCACTAATGCCTCTATCGCAATAAGTAAAAGAAATAAAAGGCATAAAGACTGCAAAGGAAGAAGTAAAATTACTTGCAGATGACATGCATCATAGATAAACTAAGAAATGTATCCAAAATAAAGAAAAAAAAAATACTAGGAACAGTAAGTGAATGTCATGGGAGACAAATATAAAAAAATCAATAGTATTTATGTATACTAGCAAAAACTAGAAAAAAATTTTTAAGATATCATTTACAATACTATAAAGACATCAAATACCCAGAAATAAATCTAACAAAAAATATGCACAAAATCTCTACAATAGAAACTACAAAACACCGCTGAGAAAATTAAAGAAGACCTAAATAAAAAGGGTCATAAGTCAGAATTGACTTGATGAAGATTTTTTTTTTCCTTTTTTAATTTTTTGGGGGGCGGTTAAAGAGAAGTTTTTATTCTGTGCTCCCGGGCAAGGTTTATGGGTCCCCGAGAGGGGCTCAGGCGACGTTCACGGGTCCCTAAGAGAGGCCCAAGAAGTCATACCACCTGGATAGGGGGAGAGGTTTATATAGTTGCATAGCGGACCTGAGTGGGAGCAGAGGGAAAAAGGCGGGAACCAATCAGGTGAAAGCACCTCATTAGCATAGTCGTTAAAGGAGGGAGAAGATTTTTTTTTTTTAAATACATGGAAAAATATACATGCTCATGAATTTAAAGATTCAACATTGTTAAAGTGTTCATTCTCACCCCAAACTGATATCTGCATTCAATGCAATTCCAACCAAACTCTCAGTACATATTTTTGTACACAATGACAAACCAAATATAAAATTTATATGGAAATGCAAAACACTTAGACTAACCAAAACAATCTTCAAAAAGCAAAATATCGGAGCACTTACAATACAGGATTTCAATACTTAATAGTGAACTATGGTAATCTAGGCTGTGATACTGACAAAAGGATGGGCAAGTGCCTTATTTTTACACAAATAACATGCACCTGCCACATTTGTCTGCCAATTGTGCCTTCCTCCACCCTTGTGAGGTACTTTCGTAAATATGCTATTAAAATTTACATGTAAAAAAATGGAAGGGAGGGTGCAGTTGCAAACAACTATAGAAGGTGCACATTATTTGCGTAATAATATAAGAATTCCTACAATCCAGTTACAAAAAGGCCCAATAAAAATGAGTAAGACTTAAAGAGCCATTATGTCAAATACACAAATGGCCGATAAGCACATTAAAAAGTGCTCAGTATCTTTTCTTGTCAGGAAAATGCAAAATAACAATGGTGTTATTTATACACCCCCTAAGGAGCTCTGGTGGCATAATGCCTAGGGCATCTGACTGCTAACCAGAAGGTTGGCAGTTCAAACCCACCAGCCACTCTGCAGAAGGTAAACTGGGCGATCTACTTCCATAAAGATTTACTGCTTTGGAAACCCAAAGGGGGTCACAATGAGTTGGAATTGACTCGATGGCAGTGAGTTTGGTTTTTTTGTTTTTGTTGTTGTTTTGTGCCATCGAGTCGGACCCCACTCATAGCGACCCCTCCTTGGGTTTCCAAGGTGGTATCACTACGGAAGTACATTGCCCAACCTTCCTTCTGTTGTGTGGTTTTTTTTTTTTTTTTAGTGTGACTAAAATGAAAAAAGGAGCTCTGGTAGCATAGCACCTAAGGCACCTGACTGATAACCAGAAGGCTGGCGGTTCAAACCCACCAGCCACTCCTCAGA